ACTGGATGATCTTTGAGGTCCCTTCCAACCCAAACCATTCCATGATTCTATGATTCTACCTTGTCAGGTATGACTGCAGATTTTTCAGCTGAGAATACAGATGTGTTACTCCTACAGTAGGGTTTCACGGAGGCTGTGACTCAAGAGAGAAGAAGGACTAGGAAACTCAAAACAGTTTAGATCCCGCGGGGCTGGAATTCAGCACAGGAGAAACACTGTGAACAAAGTAAGTCTGAGGTGGGTTTTTTTGAAGCTCACTCTTCATCTGCAGAGTGCGAGAAGTCAAGTTTTGCTTTCATCCTGAGTGCCATGAAATCCGAACGGCACTTCGGAACACGTATAAACCACAAAATGTTAGTGCAATTTCCCTGGAATACCACATACCTATAGGTACCGTCGTGTCAGTGCTTAAACTGTTGCCAATTAAGAAATCACCAATAAGTGCAGGTCTCTCATACACCCAGGATGGAAATACTGGAATGGGCTGACCAGAATTCTTCTTGTTCTGCTTATCTCGGAGGATTTTTCGCGTAAGCTCAAGAGGCTGTTGGAAAGAGAGAGAGAGAGAGAGAGAAGGGAGAAAAAGAGATCTTCAGAAGTCTGAGAAATTTCAAATTTTAAGCAGAAATCGACTGTAAACCGACAACTTGAGAACAGAAAGTAGAATAGCTGATGCTTCAGGAGCACGGCGTAGGATCTGATCTCCCAATACCATCTAGTCTATTGGTCTCAGTGCTGCAGAGGTGATTTTTTTATACAGTTGGTCACCTTTTTATTAGAGGGTACATCAAATAACACCTTTCTGCACCCCTCCCCACCAGTCAGGGCACACATAAGGGAGCAGAACGGGGACACGCACGATCACCAGGCAGCTTATGGTTTGCAAAGCACACCACGTGAAAGGCAGCAAACTCCTTCCAGAAGCTGGAAGCAGTAATATCTTATTCCAGGGGCACTTGCAGACGGGCTACCCAACACCTCTGAACGTGGTTTCTGCACAGTGCCCACTGTGCCAAATGCAATCCAGGTAATCCACAGGCAGATAAGTGGGAAACAATGCACTCCCTCCTCCCTCCCACAGCAGGATGGGGAGGAGAAAATGTCATGAAAGGCTCGAGGGTGAAGACAAGGACAGAGGGGGATCACTCACCAGTTACGGTCACGGGCAAAACACTCGAGTTGGGGAAAAAAAATTATTTCGTTTGTTACCAACCAGATCAGAGTAGGATAATGAGAAATAAAACCAAATCTTAGAATCACCTTCCCCCGCTCCTCCCTTCTTCCCAGGTTCAACCTGGCTCCTGATGTTTCTGCCTCCTCCCCACAGCAGAGGGACAGGGAATGGGGGTTGTGGTCAGTTCAGCACATGTTGTTTCTGCCACTCCTTCTTCCTCAGGAGGACTCTTCACACTGTTTCCCTGCTCCAGCATGGGGTCCCTTCCCATGGGAGACGGTCCTTCACAAACTTCTCCAATGTGAGTCCTTCCCACAGGCTGCAGCTCCTCATGAACTGCTCCAGCGTGGGTCCCTCCCATGGGGTGCAGTCCTTCACCAACAGACTGCTCCAGCACAGGTGTCCCACGAGGTCACAGCTGCCTTTGGGCACGGCTACCTGCTCCAGTGTGGGGTCCTCCCATGGAATGCAGTCCTTCACCAACAGACTGCTCCAGCACAGGCGTCCCACGAGGTCTCAGCTGCCTTTGGGCACGGCCACCTGCTCCACGCCCCTGCGTGGGGTCCTCCATGGGCTGTGGGTGTATCTCTGCTCCACTGTTAATCTCCACATGCTGCAGAGGGCCACCTGCCATCTCACCATGGGCTGCAGGGGAATCCCAGCTCCAGCACACCTCCTCCATCCTCCATCCTCACTGACCTTGGTGTCTGCATGGCCGTTTCTCTCAGGTCTCAGTCCTCTCTCTGCTGCAGCCACATCGGGCCCAACGAACCTTGGCAGTGCCAGCAGGATGAACTTGGCCCAGCGGGTGCCCTGGAAGGGGGGCGCTTTGGAGCTCTCCAAGCTGTGCCACCACGGCCATCTCCAGTCCGGTGGCGGCAGCCCAGGGTGGCAGTCCAGGGCAGACAGCCGCCTGCCTAGGAGGTTGGGGCAGGTTTCTTTGTCCCCTTCTTAAATACTTTATTCACAGAGGTGCTGACTGGCTCAGCCCTGGCCAGAGACAGGTCCGACTTGGAGCTGGTGAAGCTTCTCGCAGCTCCTTACAGGGGCTCTCTCTGTAGCCCATCCTCAGCTACCAAAACTCCACCACATAAACCCAGCACAGCTCCTAAAGACCAAAAGACTTTCCAGCCCTGGCTCTGGGTCTCTGACACTAAAATAAATGGAGCGTGAGATTAATTATCAGCTGGAGAGGCTTGGGAGATGTGCAACCTACAGGAACAGTTAGAACCCCAAGCGCACAAACACAGGAGACGCACTTAGGAATGCCATTTCTGAAGCCCCACAGATGTGTGTGTGAAATGGGACACCTCACAGGAGGTCTCAGAGGAGAGAGGGACTTGGGAAGGAAGCAAACGCACGTGTAAGCTTTGCATCTTAAAGAAGAGCACTCCTACACGTCAGACGTAGGTGATGCACGCTGTGGCAGGCCCCGACCATTTTTCACATCCTCAGAGCTGCCCAGTGCTGGGTCTCAAAATCCTTCCAACAAGCATCAGCTGTGGGACAACTACTCCAAGCAGCACCAGTTCCAGGGCACATTTGCTGCAACCTTGCCGCTGGCGTAAGACCAGTACAATGTCCTCAGGTCAGAGAGGCACCCTAAAGCCACACCACATTCCTACTTATCCTGTACACGTGATCTGCTAGAAGGACCTCAATTGCCTCTGCTTCCCCAACAGAAACAGGACTCTCATAGGAGGGTATGGAGAAGGAAGAAGCGGCAAGTAAGCTGTCAGCAATTCAAAGGATGACTAAATGTCACACGAAATAGCAGATCTCAGTGTAGGACTGAGTCCTTCACGTGGGGAAACAACTTGAACTCCTCTATAAACCTTAAATTCACGCGGTGGGAAAATACTCCTCTGTCGAAGTAGCATACCGTAATTTACCTGTCCATCATGATCCGGACACACAGACATTGGCTAAAAGAGCAAAGCATCACGTGCATTTTCCGTATCATCTTGAGTTCCAGGTCATTCGAGGAAGACCTGGAATGGAAGATCTCCCTGTAGCACTGGCCCTATGCAACATGGTTGTACGAACAAGCTTCTGCTTAGGAAGGACAGCCATCATCACCTCTTCCCAAACGGCAGGGAGGAATGAGTTGAAAGAAAAGCTCCACAAACCAGGGACGTCACCACCACATCATCTCCATGAACCACGTATACTTATGAGAGAGCAGACGAAGAAAGTATCTAAGTCCAAGAGCTCCTGAGGCATTGTGCTGAGTATGGGAGACCTCACAACCGAACCGAGCCAGGTAAGATCTCGGCAGCACACGTGGATGGAAGACAGTCCTATGAAACAGGGCTAGTTCAGCGAGATGGACTATATGAAAGTCATGCCTTGGAAACTCCGAGTCATGAAGTAATTCCTGTCTCTGACTGCCAAAACGAAGCCAGATCACAGAACCACACAATGGTTTGGGTTGGAAGGGACCTTTAAAGA